GACAATTGAGCGATAATTTAAAAGTTTGTAAACTTCTATGGTTTGTTTGCTTTTACTGTTGGGAATTAACATGCATTATTTAATTGGCCTCCATGTTTCTGACATTGATCGGTTCTTCAAATACTGGGATTGGTTCCTAATCCAACGGTTCATTAAATGAATTTGAATATTGTGATATCCCATTATATTAGATTACCAATAGACTACGATGTAAAGACGTATCAAGTGCAAGGTGATGTCATAAATACTAATCGCGTACATAAAGGTAAGGAAATGTTATATTATGTAATTGACAACGAAATGTACATGTATGGTAAAAATGGAATAATATTGTGGTAATTGTAAAATGGGTTGGTGCTACTTTACCGAGTCTCTAGCCAACAATAACAAACTTGACAAAGAGCCCGGATAAAGAGACGGCCTCGAAAGAAGGTACTGGAGAGCAAATAAAAATCAAGATAAGAATTAAGGGAATAACGTCACGTTTCTTCATCCTAGGTAAATTATCACGCACATCAATGATGTACTTAAATATATTTACAATGGTACTTCACCAAACTATTTAAACTTAAAACCAAGAGAAATTAAGAAATTACTGGAAAATAGATACATACAATTTTGGGAAACTAAAATAAAATAAAATAATGGTAAATTGAGGTTTTATAAGATAATAAAAGCAAAATGGAACAAGGAACCCTACTTGGATTTAATCAAAAATGAAATAGACAGAAATAACTTGACAAAGCTAAGAATTAGCGCACATAAATTAGAAATCGAAACAGGTCGTTACACAAAACCAATTACCCCTATTGAAGAAAGAAAATGTTTAATGTGTAACAAGAAAACCGGTTCAGAATGTCATTACCTATTAGAATGCAATAAGTTAAAAGATGTTCGGTCAAGTTACATGGATAAAATAAAAAAACACTGTCAAAATTTAGAAAACATGAATAACGTGGAACATAAATTAATGTTTCTATTTAATTCAGAGGGAATAATATTAAATATACTAGCAAAATATATATCTAATATTTTTATCGAGAGAGAAAAAAACACGAAATGCATCCAATAAAATCTTGCAATGATCAAGCACCCAAGCACCCTTTGATTAGTTAATATACTATATAGATAATTAGTTAAGCTTTTTCATTTTTTTTTCTGTTTAAGCTGTACACTTTGCCCAAATGTGGGATACAAGTATAATAAAGCTCATAATAATAATAACTAGACTTGTAAATTGAACAAAGTTCAATTTAAGACTCCAGATTGATTTACTTGAGTAAAGAGCTGACTAAGTAACTGAGTAGGAAGCTGAGTAAGTAGATGATTAAGTAATTGAGTACGTAGCTGAGTAGGTAGCTGAGTAAGCAGCTGAGCAGGTAGCTGAGTAAGTAGCTGAGTAGGTAGCTGAGTAAGTAGCTGAGTAGGTAGCTGAGTAGGTAGCTAAGTAGGTAGCCGAGTAGGTAAGTAGGTAGGTAAGTAGGAATTTTTGACCGGAAGTCGGATTGAAATTTGGTTTGCAGATTTGGATTCCTAAGAAAATTCTACCCTTAATTCATAACTCATTTTATTTTGACCTACTTTACGGACACCATATCTCAAAAGTGGGTCAAAATACTCTCTGACGGCAAAAAACTAACACTATTAGCACACTCTTTGCTACCTGTATACAAAATTTTGAAGCAAATCCTAAAAGTGTAGTGCCAGAATCGCAAAAATAAGGAAAAACTATGAATTTGACCTAGATTTTGACCTAGGCATTTTGGTGTCCAAATATTGAAACTAGGTAGCTTTTGAGGTCCCCTTCTTTTATAGGAATTCATTATCTTAAACTGTACTCAATCTATATCTCGTATTTTACACTTCAAAAAAATCTTTTTTCCTTGACTTTCTATCAGGATAACATCAGATCGATTTTTCTCGAAATTTCAAAACGCCATAACTTTCAAACCGGAAGTCGGATTTGATTTAAAGATTCGGATTCCTGACAAAATTCTACCCCTTATTCATAACTCATACGTTAAATTTGGCGAATTTTTATTTTGACCTACTTTTCGGACACCATATCTCAAAAGTGGGTCAAAATACTCTCTGACGGCAAAAGGCTTACACTATTAGCCCACTCTTTGCTATCTGTATACAAAATTTTGAAGCAAATCCTAAAAGTGTAGTGCCAGAATCGCAAAAATAAGGAAAAACTATATATTTGACCTAGATTTTGACCTAGGGATTTTGGTGTCCAAATTTTAAAGCTAGATAGCCTTCGAGGTCCCCTTCTTTTAAAGACTTTCAGAATCTTAAGCTGTACTCAGTCTTTATCTGGTATTTTGCACTTCAAAAAAATCTTTTTTCTCATTGACATAACATGGGGCACCAAAATTAGCGATTTTTGAGCTTTCAAAACAACATAACTTCCCAACGAAAAGTCGGATCGAAATTTGGTTTGCAGATTCGGATTCCTGAGAAAATTCTACCCTTAATTCATAACTCATAAGTTAAATTATGAGAAATTTTTATTTTGACCTACTTTACGGACACCATATCTCAAAAGTGGGTCAAAATACTTTCTGACGGCAAAAGGCTCTCACTATTAGCACACTCTTTGCTACCTGTATACAAAATTTTGAAGCAAATCCTAAAAGTGTAGTGCCAGAATCGCAAAAATAAGGAAAAACTATGAATTTGACCTAGATTTTGACCTAGGCATTTTGGTGTCCAAATTTCGAAGCTATGTAGCTTTTGAGGTCCCCTTCCTTTATAGGCATTCAATATGTTAAGCTGAACTCAGTCTATATCTTGTATTTTACACTTCGAAAAAGCCTTTTTTCCCATTGACTTAACATGGGCACCAAATTTAGCGAATTTTGAGATTTCAAAACACCATAACTTCCAAACCGGAAGTCGGATCGAAATTTTGTTTTCAGATTCAGATTCCTGAGATAATTTTACACTTATTTCATAATTCACACGTTGAATTTGGAGAACTTTTTATGTTCTGACCTACTTTTCGGACACCATATCTCAAAATCGGTAAGAGTAATCAAAAAACGGTTTACCATTCGTAATAAGCTTTTTCTAAGGAACATGATGAAAAAAACCAGGAGTGAAAATACCGAAGGACGACTGAGAAAACTTGTAAAATAGTGAAAAACCACGATTTGACCTAGTTCTTGACCTTTGACCTAGATAAAAAGTTGACCTAATTTCCCAGAAACTAGGCCTCATTACCTAGTTGACTGTGTTAGCAGATTTAAGTAAGTCCTTCTAGTTACCGAGAAAACGTGACAAGAGAGAAAGAATAATAATAATAATAAGAAAACTGGCAAAAGCAATAGACTCCAGATTTTCAATCTGGAGTCTAATAATATACAAAATCATGGGACCACGCAGGATGAAGTTAAACATAAACCGAATTGGTTCAGATATAGGAGAATGTGTTTTACAAGAGTAGTTGATTTAAGGCAGGTAACATCGCTCAGGGGCTGCTGTTGGTTGCATCTGTCAATGTAATAGCTGTGTCACGTGTTGTAAACTCCAAACGACGTCCATAGCTTTATACCCAAACAAGGATTATATAATCCACGTGTCTACAAGTGAAACTCGCATATGGACAAGGTATAATTGCTTAGATTATCAGTGTGTCTTTAGTTCTTCAATATCGACGTGCACCTGACACGCGCACTGCGTTACAAACACGCGTAATACCTCACAAACACGCGTAGTACGTCACGCACACGTGCAACAAAATACCTTAGTAAAGTAGAATTGAAAATTCTGTTTTAGGTTTCGAACATCTTGATAAACTTTGTCATTCGTGATGGTGTAGAAACTGTTAATCTTTTCCTATTTCCGTTTTTGTTCATTGCCTTTAAATTGATTCCCGGGAATTGATTGAATACGCTATTTGCTTTAGTGCGCAAAGTTTTGCAACATGGTGTAAAAATTCGTATAGGAATCTGTATTTTCGTATTATAATACCTACCCCACGATTTCCTTTATCAATCCCCAGGGTATATATTTTCCACCCACGCAAATCGCTACTCCTGATCATGAATCAACCGGCTATTACAGAATTTCATATTCAGTACTTGTTAACATTAACTTCATCACTGCATTGATTTCTTAACTAAATATTTGTGAGGTTGGGTTTAGTTACTGGCGACTAAATTTCCATTCAAAGATTGTGACAGTTTTGATCAGAAAGTGAAGTATAGATCACCGGATGATGTAAACATCAGTATTGAGCAAAAAAGGATAAGTAAGTATATTTTTCTATGAATGATTTAGGAGGAAATGTCACAGTTATTATTGTAAAAAGAATTCTGGCCTGGGGATGCCATCGATGACTTCTATTTTTGACTCAAGTCAACAAACCCTAGGACGAAGAGGACTTATCAGTTTCCACACAAGGTAGGAAAATAACTAAAATTGGACTGTCACTTACCCCCATAAATGTGAGGTTGTTTTTCTTATTTTTACATTTAAAACACTAAAATAAGAAAAAAATCATTCAGCCTCACTTTTATGAGGGTGCTTTGACGATCGAGCTGTGTCTCTAACGTCGACTCTTTGAGTTTCGAAAAGTTCCCACGATGATGACGATATTTTTTAAGTATATATTATCCCTCAAATTGCAATCAAAGGGGCTTTTAGCAGCATCCCAGAACCAAGAATGTCAGGCAGCTACTGTGTTCCCAGGAATATTAAGAATCAAAATGTCATTCTTTAGAACATTTTGATTGACCTAATATGCTTATACAGAGACTATGTTTTATACGTCTCTGACTTATTGCAAGAATTCTCAGGGAGATTAAAAAATTGAAAAAACATATTTAGCAATCAAGACAAGGCGCTCAAAGATAAATGAGTTTTTTAAAGAAAAATGTTTATGCTAAAATATATTAATATAAAAATGATGGATAATTATTATTTCATGCTATGTTTTTGATCGATGGGATAATTAAACTATCTGGAGGTATCAATAACACGGAAAGGTGTAAGTTGAAACTGTCAATCAATCATCACGGCCATCTAATTAGGTCAACTAATTAGGTCACCAATTCAAGACATCTCTCCGGGCATATTGGGACGCCAGTTAATAAAACACCTCTATTGGTTTCACATGTCAGAGATATTGATTATATTTTTAATTTAATGACTTAAATTGATTTTTCAAATATTAAAATATTTAATTAATTATATCGTATTAATTAATATTGAACAGTGCCCGTATGTTGCTCTGAGTAGTGGTTCATATAAGGGTGAATTTCAAATCAGCAGTCATTCTACACTATTGTATTTAAGGACAGGTGGTCTAGGAAAAACGTTAGAAATTAGAATATCGTGCATGTATTAATTCTCGTAGAGTATAACCGTTGAAGAGGACACATCTTTTCTAATCAAAGACAAAGTCAACTTTTACATAAAGGATTTAAACAATAATGAGGACTGGTTTTATAGGTGAGATTACTTTTTATCTTATTTATGACTGATAACACATTTACTGAAACCTGAGACCATCATTTTATGGTTAGTCTCAGCTGAAACTTCAGGTTATTCTTGGTGTGAACGATTATGGCAACGGTTTGTACAAGGGGGATAAAATACTAGAATACAGAAGTAATCAAAATTGCATTGAAATATATATATTTAATTTTGGAGGTTGTCAGAGGGTAAACATTCATCTGTTTAACTTATTGTTCCAATGTGCTCTGTGTTTGGTGTTTCCTGGTCTTTCCCTTTGTGCAAATGGCTCATCAATAACAGATGCTCTTTTACTATCTAGTAAAGGAAAACATGCATACCATAATTAAACCAAATGTATAGCCAACCCTATAAATCATTAAGCAATAGAGATTGATAAACCTCAGTGACTGAACTTCATTCATTTTACCCGATATCGGCCAGAAAATATGAATATAATCGAGTGGAGCTGCTGTTACGTCACGTTGACAGTTTGTATGTTTTTAGCGGTTTCATCCATTTCTATTCATAAGAATATACTGACACAGTTAATCAGGTAATTTGTTGGGGACGCTGAGATAATTAAGTCGGTGAACTTCAAAGGGATATGAAGTGATATACATCCAAGTTTCGTTAATTAAATTGGTTTTTGATTACCAATTACAGTTTACCTGTATTCATGCAAGTTGCCAATTATAAAACACACAGGTATCATTTCAATGAATCTTTTTCATTTGTCGCAACAGCCTCAAATCAGCTGCCCAATAAGTTGTCAATCAAAAGAGGTATATGTATACCATGTACCAAGTCATCACGTGACACGGTTCGACCAATGTAATACGGCATTGCCCTGATGGAGATTGCAAAACCATGACGTGCCTTTATTTATATGGGCAACAGGTGAAAAATCAGTAAACTTTCGAGTGTTGATCTTAACGTACATGACCATTTTTATCTTGCGTTTTATAAATACAAGTGTTTTTATAAATCCAGATTAAGATTGCCAGCTGTTTCGTTTGAACTTTGGACGCCAAAAGTTTTTCTCTAACTTGGATAGAAGCTATGGAAATGTTGTTATTTACCTGGTTGGGATGCTTATCTTCTAGGAGTAAAAATTATTGAAGTTAAGTTGATGAAGCTACTGTATTGTGGTATAAAAGGCCACTCAAAACAAACAAACAAACAAATAAACAAATACTAGCAATAGCACTGTAGCAAACAAATAAACAATCAAACAATGTTTTTCGTATCAGAATTGAGGCTGCACTTTATTTACTATCGAGCCCGCTACCGAGTTTCTATGCAAGACTATTTTGGCAGGTATCTTTGCAAATTTAGTTTGCAAAAGAAAAATCCTCTTCATCCTTTTAAAGAAAATCCTCATGACAGATAACAGACTCAGTAGTAATGTATAATGTTCCTCTTGTGGCTCTTCTAGTAAACTGAGAGAAATGACGTTTGGGGGGATGAGGGTCCTTTGAATCAGATATCGAGCTTTGCTAATAGAATATATGCTCACATTCAGAAAATAATGCTTTGTAACCACAATGGATATTCGTGAATGGACATTCTGTCTTGTATCCCATGAGAATACACAGATGTTGGTGTATGACATTGTACGTATAAACTTTGTGGTCAGACTTCATACTCCCATGTATTGTCGCAGTGCTATTGTTCTTGTTGTTCTATCCTCGACCCAGGGGTTATAGGCCAACAATGACCCTGACCTCATGGGAACGGGACGAAAGTTTGTCCCTTACCCCTCCTTCCTTGGGAAATTCTCTTATTTTGTATTCTAGATGTAAAATCATGGTATGGATGGATGGTAGCAATAGAGCTTGCTACCCTCATCTTGTAGTATCAAGGTATTGGGTTTTCTGAAAAGCGTGTAATCTCCCTTTTGTCATGAATTTGACATCGGATCTCTGAGGAGAGCATCGAATTTTTTTTTTATTTCTAGCCTCAAGGATTACTCGGAGCTATATGCAATTGGGAAACCAACGCTTACATCCTCATTTACTGTCATATTATGTTGTGTTTGATTTCAAAATGATTATCGATTTTAAGTTTAATTTTTGTTGTTGATTTTTTGTATCTTTTGAGGGATTCATTGAACACCAAACTTCAAAGAACTTGAATACAAACATATAAAATACCAAACGTTCCACATTTTTAGATTCTAGTACCTTTGAGATGGGCTTGATATCCGGGAATTTTCCGATTCATAAAATAATGCCTTGGTCATCAATAGGCCTGTGTGAATCGAAGCTGCCCTTTCAAGGCCTGTCACTGGACGTAGTTTTTATTTTGACAAAGGTCACCAAAAGTTGGCAGCTATTTTTTATGTCCAAAATCATAGAGCAAGATAAGTCTCGTTCCAAATCGTGAGAATGCTTTTGGGGTCAGTAAGTGCTTCATTCATTGCTGTAGCATAGCGAGACACATGCACAATCAAATGTCAAAATACTTGTCCTTTATTGATACGTTTTTAAGACTCATTCATGAATTGTTAAGTTTCATTGAAGTCTCAGTCAAAGGTTTCGGATGACGTTTCATTGCGATGCTTTCACACAGGAATAAAGAACCACTGACCATTTCGGACAATTTTCCCATACTGTGGTCTGGCCTGGGCGATAGAGTGTGATGCATTCATCTATTCATCTATTGCATTCAGATATATTAGCCTACAATTTTCCATGCGAACTAGTTGTATTAAATGTCATTCCACGCATGAATATGTATGGGGCATTAAAGGCATCTTAAGACAATATTACAAATTATTTTGGGATCTCAAAATATGAATGCTTCTCAGGGTCAACAAATGAAAAAGACTAAGTACATATTTAACACATATAACTTCAAACCCCTATTAACCTTGTAAAAATCAAACCATCTTTGTACGAAGGATAAAACAGATAGGGTACAATCAAAATAAATTAGGTCGAATTTGATATAAATAATAAATATTGATATCAAACAATGTTTCATTATGATACAATTATGGCAATCCTATAAAAATGTCAGGGCTACAATGTTTGTAATCACAAACTATCATATCTATTTATTAACCTGTAGTGTTAATGACATCATAACTTACAAGCCAATTTAATATTTTTGTATCGATCAATTTCTTGATGGTTTTATCATTAAGGTGTAGCCATTATCCTATAAGCAGGCTCGCGTAAATTACTTTTTGAGAAATATATAGTTTTGAAAGTAAAGTGAATTTATTATAGACCTATTTTATTTTCAATTAAAAATAATTGCTTTTTAAAGTGCGAAAATGGAAAGTTAATGGAGCAAAAATCAACTCCTTCAGATGATCCACAATTTATTAACTTTCTACAATTTGAAAATTAATTTAAATTTTATTTTTTAGAACATCAAAGCTGTCCAAAACCATGTACCTCCCCTTATAAAAATGTTAACACCAAAAATATGAAAGTGGGTATAATTACGGTTTGAATTTATTGGCAAATGATGGATCGAAACATTACTTTCTTTAACAAAAGGCGATAAAAGAGGAATTGTTGTCCTTCTGCTTAATGAACTTTCAACTATGAATGAACCTTTAAATATTCATATGGCTCTCTTGAAAATCCTTAACCCCTTCAAGTTTAATAGAACAGCGTATAAACACCCTTAGTCTAATTCTGGCGTTGATGGGGTTAATGAATGAGTGGGTGGAGCCGAAGGCGTGTTTTTCGTCTAGTGCATTTAAAGAACTTTGGTCATTTCAAAGTAAACACGTCCATGGGAAGGCTGAACTCTTAGTTTCAAGGTAATTTCTGAAGGAGCTCAAAAACTGTCAGATGGTCATCGGGCTTAAACTTTGCATTTCATTCTGGTATAAACACTTGGATGGTCATGTGTTAGTGTTTCATTGTAAAAGTATTTACTTGATAATTACCGATTGTGGATCTTTTAATCAAGAAGAAAGGTAAGCGAGGAACAGGTGTTTTTAAAATGTTTATCGTTATTATTTACAGTGTAAGTGCATATTTATGTATTGACAGTTGGTTGCCTTAATTTTTAACAGCAGGAAAATAATACGGTTGGGTAAATCCGAGCGTGGTGCATTTTAATTTAGATCTGTTTCATATGTTCAATTTGGACAGAGGAGTTAATACTTTCAAAACAAAAAAATGAACATACATTGATTACGATGTTTTTTGTATTCTTGTATAGTAAGTGTAAATTATACCTAATACGTAGTACAATGGCCCTAAGGACCTTGTGATGGTATGGAAATATTGAATGTGGAAAGTCGAAGATTCACTGTACTAATTAGAATCATAATTCATATTTTCAGTGCCAGCATAGGATCACAAAATATTATTCAACGTTGAGACATCCAATTGTACAACAAAAGCAGAGCTACAAATAACGCAGGTGCCAGGTAGTCGTAACACACAGATTCACAACCAAGACATACGCCAAAATCATCACAACATACACAATCAAGAGGACTCCAGACTCAATCGATCAGAACATTGAACGTAATCAGGACTCATTTATAATCACGATTACTCATAGAGATTTAACCCCTACCAGTCTAGGCAATAGTTTAGCAGTCACAATGCTGGATTTAAACAATATGGACTCAAAGAATATTATCATGGCTGGGTATAATGACTGTACAGAGGAAGCGATACGATATCTCACAGAAGTTGAATTGATACCTATAGACGATCCCATTATTATTGGTCTCAGAGAACATCTGAGTGAAAAACAGAAATATTTGGATTACACTGATATATTGCATCAACTTGAACTAGAACTTAATGCCAGCAGTACGATAGACTTGGATATGGATACAAATGAAACATCAAATCTAAGATACCATAGTAACAATGATTCAGGTTGCCATAGTGACACTGACACTGATGAAAATGATCATCAGAATCTCCATAATGACATTTATTCATTATCTCACAATGCTGATTTTCCAGAAGTCGGATCTTATAATTTAGAACAATTCAATAACAATCTAGTAAGAACAACGTCTAATTCAACGATTGACGTCACGGAAACGTCATTTGCGAATGACACCAATTTCACAGATGGCAGTGAGTGCAGTTTAACTAGCATAAACTTTGCCCTTCTCGTTCAAAATAACCCCGACATAGCACATCTAACAGATGAACTATTATGCTTGTTACAAGCAGCTCCTGATCAAATCATAGATGAAGTATAAATATCATATCAACTTTTAACCTCCAAGAGTCCAAATGTGTATCTGGGGCGAATATACTATTTCGCAATGACTGAAGTGGAAGTCTTATTTTGAGACTAGGCCTGCTCATATCTTCTAATAAAATTGTACAAATCCTTTCAAAATAAAAAGATATTCTAAGTATTGTATAATTACACGAATGGAATAAAATCATATTATATGTTCTTATTTTAAATCGTTATTTGTTGCATTGATAATGTAATCATGTAAATGCCAACGTCAGTTGAAAATGTTAGCGAGGTAAGCTACACGTTTAGAAGAGAACGTGTGCGTACGTGTAATTATCACGACCACCAAAGCATAACTATTCCCATCTCAATTGCTTTTCCAGGGGCCTTATAATAACTATTTTCCTTGTAAATACTAAGCAGGAGAGAACCCCTTGCATTCGTTCCACTTCAGTTCTTAAAAGAGAGCCTTGTCTATAACTCTGCACGCAGGGTAGGGAGAACTAATGCATAGAGGATCATAATTCTCGTTCAAATTCTCTTAAAACGGCTTTCGTGTGTTAAGGGGTTTTACAACGTATCATCATCATAAACCATGACATCTCAAATCTTCTCAGCCCTGAGATGTTTCAGGTGAAACAGAAAGGTGCTATATGAATGAGATGGTCTTGACATTAAATACATTTTAGATGGATATTAATCGTCTTGTAAGAACCACGTTAAAAGCCGTCTATAAAGGCGTCAACCTTGGAGAGATGACACATCATGACAGTGAATTGGAAAAAAACTGAAGGTTTGATTAAATTCTGGAATAAAGAAGATTAAAAAACGTGATGAGATGCCTTAATCTTTGGCTGGTACACGCGTGAATGTGATATTTGGTGAATTTAATCGTCTTTTGATACTGATGGTACGGAACAAGTTTCACAGAGATACAAAGTCTAAAACTATGTTAAAAGTGTCATTACACACCTTTCCTAATGGGAAAAGACTTTTGATACAGAGGGTATATCAAGATTTTCTTCCAGTTTTAGTGTTCGGGAGATTTTCATTAGAGCAAAATATTCTCCTTCGTCAGTCAATAAAGTAAAAAGTTTGTCAGATGTGGGATTCGAACCCACGCCCACATTCGTGGACCAGAACACTCATCCACACATCGTATGGAAGGGAAACCTTGAGTCTGGCGCCTTAGACCACTCGGCCAACCTGACAACTGTGCTATTGAGGGACACATTTGGAACTATTGTTTGCACTATCAACTATAATTGTACTAGTTGTTTGAGCTTTTCCAAATACAATATCAAAATTTTCTTCCAGTTTTAGTGTTCGGGAGATTTTCATGAGAGCAGTCAAAATATTCTCCTTCATCATTCAATAAAGTATAAAGTAAAAAATTTGTCAGATGTGGGATTCGAACCCACGCCCACATTAGTGGACCAGAACACTCATTCATACATCGTATGGAAGGAAAACCTTGAGTCTGGCGCCTTAGACCACTCGGCCAACCTGACAACGGTGCTATTGAGAACACATTTGGAATATTGTTTGCACTATCAATTATAATTGTACTAGTTGTTTGAGCTTTTCCAAATACAATATCAAAATTTTCTTCCAGTTTTAGTGTTCGGGAGGTTTTCATGAGAGCAGTCAAAATATTCTCCTTCATCATTCAATAAAGTATAAATTAAAAAATTTGTCAGATGTGGGATTCGAACCCACGCCCACATTCGTGGACCAGAACACTCATCCACACATCGTATGGAAGGATAACCTTGAGTCTGGCGCCTTAGACCACTCGGCCAACCTGACAAGATGAATGCATAGTTTATCATAAATAATCTTAGACTAATGATTCATTGTCTTGATATCCTTCTTTTCCAATGTTTGGAAAGTTTTGGTCACAGTCATCACAACACAATTTTGCACAACCAGTGGGATCAGATCATCAGAACTGGTTGAACTAATACATTTGACTCGTACAATTAATAGTTCCAAGTGTCAATTCCTGAGCATAAATTTCTCACAACCTGCCCGGGTTCAACCAGAAACAGACCCCTAAACATACTCCGCAGTATTAAAATGCGAACTATCTTTCGTTTCAATTTACCTGTCGTTCGGAATTTTAATGAAACCGGATGTAGATAAATTTTGGAAAAGTCAAAATATATTTTGATTACTGCATTGCTCGAATTAAGCATCATATATTGCTGATAGATCGTTCATCTATAATGACGTTTTTAGAGATTATATAAAACTATTATTTGAAGACGAAATCGCTACAAACCCTCTCCAAAATTGTAGGTATTTTCAACTGATTCAAAAACGAAAAAGTTGAGACAGGTGTCGGGAGAACAAAATTTAGATTGTGACAGTGACTCATAATTCCTATACACTGCTATACAAAACATATTGAAATAGTGTTTGGCTAGACAAGTATATAACTGTTATAACCTACCTTAGATTGACAATATAACTAGACACAGAAACATGTCTGGTTGTTTGGACAATTTCCGATGGCCCGAGTGTGAGTGCCTTCAAGTGGGTGAAAAGAGAAATATGATTGCATCTATTGTAGCAGGTTCATTTGTAAGTATACACTTACTAGACTATTGTACTCTGGATACAACATTCAAAATCATAGGCTGTGTCCCAATAGAAAAAGAGGCCGATCTAGTCTAGAGAGGGATCAGGTTTATCATCATGCATGTACAGTGTCAAAGAATTCATAGTCTGATACATGTACAAGATGATAACTGTTTCAAGCCAGTGTGCAATCTTAGGAAAGCAGATGAGATCACCTTTCCAAGGCCAGTTGTACTTCACTTTACTCTATGTTGGGCTCATTGACATTCATTCACAGTAATTTTTTCCAACGTCAGAGCATGCCGGGAAACAACATCCATTTAGAGATTTTGAAACTAAGTATAAGTATTTATTAAGGACATGATGGTATGATTAATAGGGCACCACCAAGAACTTGTGGCATACTGTTGTGGCAACCACTATGCTTTCACTTGGATTCAAGCATTAGTGGTCAGTGTCTCATGGGTGTTTTAAAAATCCATGTTGTCTCACAAATTCTTATAATTTTATAACGATTTGTTTACCAAATAGTGACATTTTATCATGTTACATGTTATGTTTCAGTTTGGAATTGGTTGGTGGATTATGATTGATGCAGCAGCAGCATACCCAGAGATGGCAGACTTGCATCATGCATGTCACACTGCTGGAGTTATTGGAACAGTGGCCTTATTTATGTACGTTTATCTAATACTCAATTTCATCATTGGGCTGCTGTCTCAGTTTGGCAAAATATTATTTTAACAGTCCAACCTTTTTTGAAGCCATGTGTGACATTTTCTTTATTGAAAAAAGTATGAAATACAAATTATGTCTTCCAAATTGATTTTGTACCAGAAAATAACATAGGCAAAGAGGAGGGAAAACCCCAAAGATTTGGAGATGACATACTTAATTGCGTCTCTTGCTTACTACCTTTATTTGTTGGAATTTCAACTGGCTAGTTTCCAAATGCCACACGTCGTTGTGATGTTTTAATATAATGTTAGCATATTCCTTACACATTTCTCTATCTTGATGTGAAATAACAAGCTATGATATTGGTTAACAGGTAAGATATTATATTAACTTAATACTTTTCCATCATTGAATGACATCATTTGTCTGTACATTTGACAAATCAGCGACAATGTCATCTCAATACACATTTACATTATAGACATATGTCATCTCTAAACCCTGGGGTTTTTCCCCCTCTTACATATTAGGTAGGCACTGTATGGCAATTTTTTCAAAAGTATTAGATTCACCTTAACACATTTAAAGTTTTGCTCTAAATTCCTCATATTGCAATATAGCTCTAGCACTGATTTGTATGATTGCTTCCTTCAAAGGAAGAAAAAGTTAATGTCAAATGACATTACATGTACTAAGGTGGGTAAAACAGAATCTTGTTGAAATATTAATTCCAGGATTAATTCAGTGTCCAATCAACAAGTGAGTGGAGACATCTATACTGATGGAGTATGTGGCAAGACAGGTGTGAACATTGCACATTCCACATTCCCCTGGATAATCCAATATACATAAGCAGGGGGTTCCACTAGAATTTCTCATAACAGGCTAAATAAATGAAAACAACAGGCAAAATTAATGGAAATCATAAATTTAAGATGGAAAAGTTGAAAAGTCCCTAAAAGACAACAGGCGATTTTGTGAAAACAACTGGTGAAAATCGCCTGTTGCCTGCTGCTAATGAAACCCCTGATAAGCATTGTAAATTGTCTCCTTGACCTTGTACTCTCCTGGTGTGGTTTTATCTGTACAAGTTCTTGATAGTTTTAAGGACAACCTCTCACTTTTAGATGAAAATCATACAACTTGACATATTCAGCCTTATCTGTCACAACCTGATCCCAAAAGGTCACGTTAAATGTCTTGGAAAATTTGGCGAAAATTTTGCGAAGGAATTAGTTTATTTAAGTAAAGTATCTCAGAAGTATGCCCCTTTGATATGAAACAATAAAGATGTGTAGTGTATTTAATTTTTTAATTTTTTTATTTGAATTTTTTTTACTCTGGTTATCTGTTTTGACATGTGTATGAAGGCCTTATGAAATGTGGAGAAGGGACTAGATTTGTTATTAACCCCCCTCCCCTGCACCTTACTTAAATACACAGCTCACCCCATATCCATTAGGTATACTCTTTGCTTGTAGGATAAATTCTGTATCCAATGGCCAGGTGAGGGGAGATGCCTACACTGTTGGTTGTATGGGACAAACAGGTACATGTGTGCATTATCATTGTGATATCCATCCTAGGTCTAAAGTCATTAGACATTTTATGTGACATCCTTAAAAACACTACTCCCTGAACATTATTTGAAACCAACCACTGTGACACATCTTGAGGACACTTTTTCATGAATATTACCCTTTGAATCTGACTCATGTGACACAACTTTATGATACCATTCCCTGAATACAACATCTTCGAATCAATCATTATGAATTGACTTCCAGGATACAATTCCTTAAATAATACATTCTGAAATCAACTACAGTAGAACCTGCTAAGTGGAACATCTCCGTAACTGGAACACCTCGCAAGTGGAATGCTTTTTCAAAGTCCCGTTTTAAAAACCCATTGACTTAATGTTAATTGAACCTCTGTAAGTGGAACACCTCCAAACTTGAACAGTGAACACCCCATATTGAAAAATTAACCTGCTAAGTGGAACAGTCAGTTTTCCATAAATTTCAAAAGTGATACTTATGTAAACAAAATTAACCTCCAACAGTGATACCTGGGTATGAAAACAGGTAATAACGTGATAATTGGCAAATTAGGATTTTAATGGATTACCATATAGTCAATTGGATTAACCTCCTGTAGAGATCAACATGTGATGCTTCCACTAATTAATTTGATAATCAGCAAATTAGAATTTCATAAGATTATCATTCAGCAAATTGGATTAAGAGATTGACATGACTTGTGATGCGCTTGCCTCTTACCTCTTGCTGTTTGTTTCATACTTAATAAGTAAGCTTAAGAATGTCAGTTAAAAAACAAAAGAATTACAGGGTGACCCAAAAAAATGCAACCCTCCATTTCTTCAATATTTTTCTTAAAGGAGGTAAATTACTCTGAGATTTGGCACACGAGGACTTCATTCAATGTGGGATCATCTGGCAAAGTTTTAATAATCATAGTCTTATATTGATAGAGTTATGGTTGTTTCAAAATATGCTCCAGATGTCGTCAATTTCACTGAAAACAAACTTGCGATGTTCAAGGAAAACTGTTGATAACATGGATGCATTCTTCTCCATGGGTATGGCTCAAATTTTTGCAGCCATTGCTTGTTGGAGTTCTGCAATTGCGGTAGGGTTATTTTCATACACATTATCATTTAAATAACCCCATATATAGAAGTCAGGGGCATTGAGATCAAGACTGTGGGATGACCATGGGTTCTCCGTCCTAGGAGAGATAATCTTCTAATAGAAATGACAAGTGAGCCAGGCTATGCTATCATTAGAAGTGTGAGGAGTAGCTCCATCCTTCTAGAACCACTGTTCTTGTCTATTGAAGCCTCTATGTCACTCTAGAACTCCCTAGAACTTCCTGGGAAAGCCAATATTGCGCTGTGTGTTAGCAGTAACAGTGTTGCCAATATCAACCTCAAACCAAATGGGGCTGATGATTTCATGTTTGGAAACTGGCAGCCCAAGCTGTGCATTTAACTGAATGAAGGGGCCTTTGAAGCACTTCATCTGGAATTTGTGATCCCAGAACACATTATTTCTTGGGTTTACATGTTCAGAAAGAAGGGAATGTGATTCATCCGAAAATCTGACATTGGAAATGGCGACATTTGGAGCATATTTTGGAACGGCCATAACTCTATCAATATAAGACTATGATTATTGAAACTTTGTCAGGGGATCCCACATTGAATGAAGTCCTAGTGTGCCAAATTTCAGAGCAATCAACCTCCATTTAAGAAAAATATATAAAAAATAGAGGGTTGCATTTTTTTGGGTCACCCTGTATTAGCATTAGGAACAAGTCTTTAAAACTTGATTGCCTTATCTTAGTGTCTGAGACTGACAGAATGAGGAGGATTGAGAATGTCAGATACCTTTTTGAGTAAAACAAATGGATAATTAATGCTATATAGCTGCCCTGCAGTGATCGGAGAATTTTATTTTCAGTGATACATCAACTCTATATTTAAAGCTGGACTACGCTCCGAAACGCAATCTTGGGTTGTTTCGGGGGTGAACTTTATCATTTTGAGCTTAATGAAAGATTATAGAATGATGAACAAATGGGGCAAATCTTGTGTAGAAATACTTACGATAAATGTGTCATTTCAAAGATTTTTCATTGAATTTGCTTCGATCGGTGCCGGCGATATGATTTTGGAAAGGTTTCTAAATGAAGAACGTGACGTCACTTCCGAATCATAGCATTCAAAATAAGTAGCGTTTAATTACTTCCTCCTTTCATAATAATATGGTGGTGTAGCGGGTAGAATCCTCGCTGAGCACGCGGGAGGCCCGGGTTCGAATCCCGCATTACCCTTTTTATTTTTTTAACTAAATGATTGTTCTTTGATATTACGCAGAAAAAAACAATTTTTATTTACATAAACTTTATATTAGAGCTTGAAAATGTAAAAACAATATATGTCAACATATTGCGTTTTGGAGCGATGTGCAGGTTTAATCTTGTATGTTTGTTAAATCCCCGCGAACCCAAAATCTCCTAAGTGGAATGCTTTTTGGCAGAACGGAGGGTGTTCCACTTACACAGGTTCTACTGTACTTTGACACAACCTTAAGGACACTATTTGATGAAATCAGCAACAGTGAGATAACCTTTAGGACACTATTCATTGAACACTACCTTTTGAAATCAACCACAATGTCACAACCTTTATGACACTATTTTATGAAATCAGCAACAGTGAGATAACCTTTAGGACACTATTCATTGAACACTACCTTTTGAAATCAACCACAATGTCACAACCTTTAGGACACTATTTTATGAAATCAGCAACAGTGAGATAACCTTTAGGACACTATTCATTGAACACTACCTTTTGAAATCAACCACAATGTCACAACCTTTAGGACACTATTTTATGAAATCAGCAACAGTGAGATAACCTTTAGGACACTATTCATTGAACACTACCTCTTGAAATCAACCACTTTGACATAGCCTACAGGGCACTATTCCTTAAACACTACCACTTGAAATCAACCACTGTGGCACAGCCTACAAGGCACTATTCCTTGAGCACTACCACTTGAAATCAACCACTGTGGCACAATCTCAAGGATACTATTCTTTAAACACAACCTCTTGAAATCAACCACCATGACACAACCTTCAGGACATTTTTCCTTGAACACTGTCCCTTGAATCTGACCCATGTGACCCAACTTTATGGTACCATTCCCTGAATTAAAATCAATCACTATGACACACAAGAACTTTGAAGGCGACCTCTTGCCTACAACCCTTAAACATTACAATGAGAAATAAGTATGGCACTTACATTGTTATTATATCTCATGCAAGGAGGTTCATTCCACTAATGTCATTCTTCATAACAAAAACAGTTAACCGATAAAATACAACATACAGGTACAGTAATTTGATAACATAATGAATCTATATATTGACTGCCAAATGAATTATATCATTGATAGGCCTATATGATCCAAGAATTAAAAATTATCCATGTGAGCATTTTGCTAACACCGCAACCAACAGAAGCAATGGAGTGAGGCTTGGTGTCCAGTTATTAACAGTTGAGGAATAACAAAGTGACTATAGTTTTGTTAGAGAGGCGAGTGAAAATGATGGTTTCGTATTAAATAGTGTTGATTTTTTGATAACGAGGGTTTCATGCAAAAAGGTTCTATCTCACAAAATGTTACTTTTGAGAAAATCAACTTTAAAGATTTGAAACATTCTCATAAATCAGGGTTCATCTCAATTTCATTGATATTCAAGGATAACATTACTCAGGATAAGGTCTATCTGTACAACTTATAGTTAAGCTTTCCCATTAATGGTTTTTTAATTACACTCATTTTTGTAAATAGAACCTTTTTGCATGTGTAAAATTTGAAAAAATATTTGTGCAAAAAGGTTCTATGTAACTAATAGCACTTTTATGCAGGGACTATTTTGAATATTCATGTTGTGTTACCAATGCAGAAAGGTTCCATAACATTATAGAACTTTGGTGCGGGAACATGTTTAAATCAATTCTTGTGTCATGCTTTGTATAGAATGGTTCTGTAACTGCATCTGCAAGATAACTACTTCATATTTAACATTAACACATCGTTTACAAACAAAATAACTTGTTTTTACTAAATAGCTAGTGCATTTTGTCTATTTTCACGATTTATCTCAATGTTATATCTTTTTGTGCTACAGGTATATATGTATGTAGCGACATTTTATCTGTGATTATGACATTCATGATACTATACCAACTGTATACCAATCATCATGATTACCAAAATATAATTTTAGTATACGTTTAAAGCTTATATATTTATATACTGGATCAGACAAGTCCCAACTTCGTTTGAGCCCCTCTGTCCGTTTGTTTCGTCCCACAGGTAACAGCTTCCCTTACCCTCCCCCAGTGAATATACAGACAGGTTGTAAGAAGCAAGCTTCCGTTTTTAAAAGATTTGAGATACTCTCCCACATGGTGTAGCAAGAACTGTCAAATGTCATGGCATGGAAAGTAGAATCTTTTTTCGCTCGTTCCTTATCTACTGTTTTTTCTTTCCTTGCTCGTTCTTTTTGTTGGATATGTTTATTGTATTTTTTATGGCTTTCCTCTCCTTGTTCTGGTTGAGTGAGATCAAAATTAGTGTGCATGCAGATATGACATTGATCTTTCTTTGGTTTATAAAATGAAAGATTATAGTTTTCTGTGAAAATCTTTCTGTACATACGTTCCCTCACTGGATTTGTTTCATTCATTCGGCATCTCTCAACATATAACTCGTGCATTTTTCTGATATTAAGGCCTTGGTCCAAGTACTCTTTGTGAGAATCCTTTCTAGTGTAGTGTGAAGCCATCTTTGGAAATGCTTCAATATGATTCTTGACATCAGTGATGCTTTTTTCTGGTGTTTTGTTATATGACGCATTCTTTCCTCTTTTATCTGTTCCAACATATTTTCCAAATGCTTTGTTCTGCAGGGTGTTGTCAACAGTTTTGTGGGAAATGGTTAATGACATGTACTCAGGAACATCTCTTTACATTCACGTTCAGGATGACCTTCTTCATTGTATAATCTGTACACCCTCGAATTTGACTTTCTTGTACTATACTGGCCTTTACATGTGGCACATTTGTTTTTCTTTGTTGGATTCTGAATTATGAGGGAGCATATATAATCTTTTTGTTGTTTATTGGAATCCATTGAGCGAAATTCCCTGAATATTGATTCCATTGATTTTTGACTTATTTTCTCATTGCAGTGATATCTACAAGATGAACAATCAATTGGTTTGACAGACCTCTCATCTATTTTCTGTCCCTTTGAGTCCTGCTAGCCGATTAGCTTTGTTTACATTTCGTTTCCAGGTTTCTGGCTTCGACTTTGCCCTTGCTCTGGTTAGTTTTTTTTTCTTTGGACTTCTGTAAGTAGCTGCCTTTCTTGGTGTTAAATTAACAGAGAGATTCTGACCCTTGTCATCTTGGATAACTTCTACCCTCTCAGATTGGTTCTCCATGAACGTTTCATTTGTTGGTGAAACATGCTGTTTTTCTGTTGGTTTGGTACTTTCCTTGTCATCTTGGATAACTTCTACCCTCTCAGATTGGTTCTCCATGAACGTTTCATTTGTTGGTGAAACATGCGGTTTTTCTGTTGGTTTGGTACTTTCCTTGTCATCTTGGATAACTTCTACCCTCTCAACTTGGTTCTCCATGAACGTTTCATTTGTTGGTGAAAGATGCTGTTTTTCTGTTTGTTTGGTACTTTCCTTGTCATCTTGGATAACTTCTATCTTCTTGGATTGGTTCTCCATGAACGTTTCATTTGTTGGTGAAACATGTTGTTTTTCTTTTGGTTTGGTACTTTTCTTTGAGAATGATGCAGTTGACTCATGAAAAGGCACACTTAAATCATGTTCATGGCCTGGTACTGCTAGATATGTTAGATTGTATCCTTTATTGGAGATGAGGTTTGGATTCCCATATTTGGGGAGAAGTTTATAATTGGCTGATCTTGTTTTGTGGTGAATATAGTGAGATTTACTTGAAACACCTTTGCTACTGCTAAAGGAAGGAAATCACCCGCTAGTGCAGTCCAGGATGATCTAAGGTCTTGTACTACTTTAGAATAAGATTCACCTTCTGGAACAAACTCCATGTAGATTTCAGAGAAAGCTTCTTAATGAAGACATATTTCCTCCTTTATATGATCTGCTGTTTGATTAAACATTAATCCAACTGCATGGTAGAAACAATCACCATCTCCTGGTATCTGTTCAAGTATCTGCCCATTACTTTTCAACAAGCTTTGCAGTTATTTGTATGTGCATTAACAATTTTATCATGCCTTTCAGCGTCGTCTCTGCTTCTTCTTAGAGCTTGGGCCATGTCTGTTCTGCCTGGGCTGTTAGGTTGTTTCAGCGTACGGACACATTTGTGTCTTTTAATCGAGTATGTCTTTGTCTGATGTTCTATTTTCCTTCGTTTCATATTGGTTCTTGGTTCATGATGAGGTTTGTAGGCTTCAATGTCCTCATCTGAAAGCTCCATATCTATCAGCTCAGATGAATTTGATGATGAATCTGATGAGTCATACCTTGGTGGGCGGTAGTCTGAATCATTATAAGAGTCATCTAAAGGTGATTCTATATCATGATATAGCAGGTTAGCAAGTGGCTCATTGTCTGATTCATTGAAAGTATTTGTATCACTCACACTTGGCTTTATTTTGGGGGAAACTGATATACCTTGCTTGGATATTGTTTTGGAATCTGCTCTTGTATGTTGAGACACTTGGGGATCATTTTCTGTGTGTGGGAATAGTTGGGGACCATCAGTAGTGGGTTCCTTTATTTGATGGCCTGTTTCGGTGTATGGTGACATTGAGGCGTTGACATTCATGGGATTCATTATCTGAGGTTCTTTTACAGTAGCTGTTGATATCGGCACATTGTCACTCTGAGGTTCGACTATTTGGTTACCTGTTTTGCTGATGATTGACAATGGGGCATCATCACTCTCGGATGCCATTATTTGGGGATCTGTTGGAGTAGTAGATGATATATAGAAGGCGTCACTCCGAGGTTCCATTGTTTTGGGAAATAATTCAAAACCTGGCGATAATGGGAAGTCATCACTACAAGGTTCCATTTTTGGGGAACATGATTCCAAAGCTGCTAATATTTGGGATGTGTCAAGCGAAGGTTCTATTATTTGGTTACAGTGACTGGTGGTTCTGAGGCATCATCCCTTGTCGATTCCTTATATACATTATAAGGTTAGTCTGTGGCCAGTCGAACATCTCATGGTATCATCTAGAGTTCTAGTATCATATTGTTCAATGATGTTAATCTAGTAATCTCTGCATTAGGTATTAATGGGATACGACTAAGTCATTACAAAATCACAGCCATTAGGCTTCAATATTTGAATAATAGGGTATAATTGGTCACTGTTGTGGCTAGGAATATATTAAAATGCATGGTCTACAGTCTACACAGATAAAACTGTAGTATACACAGTGATCCTATTAAATCAACTAAATCACAGACAGACAAAGAAACAGACAAACACATAAAACATATAGACAGTGAAATATAAAAGGGCCCAAGTCAAAGTAGGTTTTAATAAGTGACTTTTGTTGACATTCAAAAAGGTTCCATTGATAACATAGAACCTTTTTGCGGGAGGTAAAAATGACTTAGCACCTTTTTGCATGGAAGAAACTGTTCCTAGTTGGATAGAACCTTTTGTTATGCAACATTATATCAAGTTATATATCATATTGAGAGAATTCAAGTATACCATTACATAGCTTATGTTTTGTTCTATAGCCTGGTATCAATAACTCATTTTTGATAAAAAATGTAGTTGGCACCTTTTTGCATGAAACCCTCGATAAGTCAAGTGAAAAAGAAAACAACATTTAGAATTTTGTTAGGGGAGGGAGGGTGGTCAAACCATAACTTATTTCATTTTTCCATTACTGTTGATAATTCGACAATGGACATCCATTTCTGAATTGTGATCAATGATATACATTTGAGAAATCACTCAAAGACTTTTATAAGCATATTATTTGTATTTTGTAGGAGCTAGAATCTGGTTATTTATTGGCTTCCTTCTGGGATTTGGAGCTTTGATAGCAGCCTCCTGGATTCTCTTTGGAGTTTATGTAGTACCAAGTGAGTAAATGAGGAGTTTATGTCGTACTAAGTGAGTAAATGAGCTGTCTACATAGTACCAAATGAGTAAATGAGGTGTTTGTGGTGTACTAAGTGAGTAAATGAGTTGTCAACATAGTACCAAGTGAGTAAATGAGGTGTTTGTGTAGTACTAAGTGAGTAAATGAGTTGTCAACATAGTACCAAGTGAGTAAATGAGGTGTTTATGTAGTACTAAGTGAGTAAATGAGTTGTCAACATAGTACCAAGTGAGTAAATGAGGTGTTTCTGTAGTACTAAGTGAGTAAATGAGTTGTCAACATAGTACCAAGTGAGTAAATGAGGTGTTTATGTAGTACTAAGTGAGTAAATGAGTTGTCAACATAGTACCAAGTGAGTAAATGAGGTGTTTATGTAGTATTAAGTGAGTAAATGAGTTGTCAACATAGTACCAAGTGAGTAAATGAGGTGTTTATGTAGTACTAAGTGAGTAAATGAGTTGTCAACATAGTACCAAGTGAGTAAATGAGGTGTTTGTGGTGTACTAAGTGAGTAAATGAGGTGTTTTTGGTGTACTAAGTGAGTAAATCAGGTGTTTACCAAGTGAGTAAATAAGGTGCTCATGTAGTACTAAGTGAGTAAATGAGGTGCTTATGCATTACCAAGTGAGTAAATGTGATGTTTATGTTGTACCAAGTTAGTAAATGTTGTGTTTATGGAGTACCAGGGGACTAAATATAATATGGTGTTTGTGTCGAGCCAAGTGAGTAAATGTGGTGTTAATGTAGTACCAAGTGAGTAAATGAGATGTTTATACAGTACCAAGTGAGGAAATGTGGTGTTCATGTAATACTGATCATGAGTAAATGTGGTATTTATATAGCATCCTGGTGTTCTATGTCAGCTTTATAGATCAAGGTCTCTAAATAATTATTGAATGTTTTTTTCAGTGAAACAGCCACAGTGGCCAGGAGTAGCAGTTTTCCTACAAAATGCTCTGATATTCTTCAGGTAATTTTGAGCATCGAAAAAGCAAAGATTATTTCAGCAATTTCCATTCTTGAATAACAACATTTTGATATTTCTTGTCTAAAAATATATATAAATAAAAAAGGTGATTACATAAAAAAGTGAATATTTTCATGAAAAAGTGACTGTTTCAAGTTATGATGAAAATCTGTGCATAACTTTGAATATATATGACTTTACTGTAATTTTGACCATGTTATTAGATTATTATGTTACCACCATAAGTGATGACATATTGTGATATGTAGTCTCCAACATTTTTATGGACAGTGTTCAGTGATTGGTATTTGGCAGTTGGTGATCAGTGGTTGGTGTTGGGTGGTTGAATTGGGATCTGCAACAAATGACAGAGTTGGTGATAATTTGAATGTAATGCCTTGTTCTGTCTTGTCTTTACTATCACAGTGGCGGCGTATTTAGAATTTCATTTATATTTTCAGTGCCCTGATATTCAAGTTTGGGAGAACAGAAGATCTCTGGGGATGAACAGCATGAAGTACTGACACTTCAACATTATTAAAAATTGTATATAATGGACAGACAGCCATTTTACATAATACATGTACAATATACTTTTGTCAGCTTTAACTCACAAAGAAGCTGAATTTTGATGGATTTTCAGCTGAACTGGACTATTTTCTGTTTGCTTAATAGTTTATTTATTGTGAATAAACACGCAATAAGTTTATGAACAATGCCAAAACAACAAACTATTAAGAGGTTATAGTTAGCGCTAATATTAAAATCACTTATGCTCAAGTGAGTATATAGTGATTCTTTAGACTTTTTATTCCATATAAACTGGCCACAGTACTTTATACTGCAATGTAAACATTGAGTCGGGTATTTGACCCATTTAGTGCAGTGGTTACTTGTTAATTAACTATCATCTTGATGTATAGTCATTGATATAGCCTGGCATTAGGCAGGCAAGGCAAGTGCATCACCAGAATTTTACAGAAATATATGTTTCAGATGCTTTTCAACTAAAACTGAAAATGAGGGTAGTCATGTGCCCATGTATCTTAATAAAGCCTCGCCTTGAGTTTTGTCTGGCCTAATTTGAGATCATTGATATGGCCCTGACAAAACAATTGTATTTACAAGTTTTGATAAATCAAATACTGTGCAATGTGGTGTTTTTGAAACCTTTAAAAACTAAACTTTAAATATTACTAGGATCTTAATTTCTTAATGTCATGCTGTTGTACTGTACTAAGTTATATATACTGAATATAAATTGTGATCATAAATTAACATTGGTTGTTTGATTGTTTATATTTTGAAAACATTGATTCCACAAAATAGTCTCACATTATAATTATGTAGTATTAAAACATGTCTGTGTATATGTGTGATTACAGGAATGACAATTTCCTGTATAAAATTCTGCGACATTTGTACAATAAAAATCTGTATGATTGTACATATGTGAATATATGAATCTGGAAAGTTGAGGTCTATCTGTCTTTATACACAATGCAACATATTTTAGATAGGAAGTTTTCTTGTCTGTAATCGCAGATTTATACAGTTATGTTTAATTTTTACACTGAGATAAAAAGACTTATTAACAATTAGATTCCAACCAACCTGCAAAATGTATCAAATAGAAAATGTTTTAAGCCAAAAGCTCATAATTTTCCAGAAGTATTTTTCAACAAAGCAAGTCTCAAAAGGTACTCTGATCCTGAAGACCCCTGTCCCCATATTAATGATCTATAAATTCTACCATCAGAGTAGACTTGGATACAAAGTTGAAATATTTCGAATGTCTGTAAACCTAGATATTTTTCCCAGTTGAAAATAGACTAGATGCGAGTAGAAATAATCTTGATTCACGTCATAAAATATTCAAAATCCAGTCAAAGTGATGTCATATTTGAAATCTGCATGTAAAAGTACATCTAGAAATATGGTTACGAAAATTGTTTATCAACTTTGAAAATTTAATTTCCTTTGAAAATGTCAGATTTCTAGTTCGGGTTGATTCCCCATAGACCCCATGTTACAAAGTCACAACATTTTCTCTCACTGGACATATTTTAATTTGCATAACTATTAGATACATAAGGGTAATATGAAAATTGAACCACCAAAAATTAAGTTAGCCACCATGCTATCTGATCGAAATGAGCCACCTTGTGGTGAATTCGAAATTGGTAACTACCTAGTCGGACCTGCATTATTGCATAAACATTCATCTCAAAGGTTTTTGAACTTCTCTTTGGATCTTTAGAACTAAGTGGTTCTTGATACCTCTGATGATAATACATGTAATACTAGACAAAGTGTAGTGAATAATGTGTTTTCCTAACTCTATTCACCATTTATTTGTAAACGTCTCCATCAGGTACCTAGGATGTTGGGTCACTAACTCAGTATGACCATGCATTAACTTGCTATGGAGGCCAGGTTTAAATATGATGGGGTTGAGCTCAAAACCAAAGGTGAATTCATTGAATGGCATTGACCAATTATCCTACAAAATCTGTATTTAAGCCCCGATAAACACTATGAAGACCTCAGAAGGTCAAAGTCAAATTTCTATGTGTATGTCAATGTCACTTGAAATGTAACAACATGACTCGTATTTTAAGATTCTGTTATGATCTGTTTGTCATCATATTGTGGTCATTGAAGGTCAAAGTCACATATCTAATTCAAGGTCACATGGAAGGCATTAAATTTATGACTCATATAATCCGTATGCCACTATGTCTAAATTGTGGTCATTGAAGGTCAATGTCACTTAAATAAATAACGGTCAAGGGATGTTCTGTTCAATGCAAGACGATGGAATAAGCATCCATGTTATTTAGATTCGTAGTAACATGTAGACCAACAAAAAGAGCAATATCTTTATATTTGTTAAAAGGATCTAAAGTGTGATGGATACATAGTCCCAATTTAATGCAAATCAAACCCAAAGTACAATAAAAACAACTTAAATGGAAACCATACTTTAAAGCATAGAAAAAAGTTTTGTTTTTGCAGTTTTGTGACTTTTTATTATTTTCTTCTACTACTCTACATGTACAAGGTTATAAAAATATACATCATCAATTCATAACAGCACTGACAGGGCATTGGGTGATTTGACTCCTGATAATTTCCTCTCAGATACTGTTATCATCAAATTCCCATTTGAATTAATGAACCACCACAGAGGAGGTAGACTACCATGATATCTCCATTTGAATTAATGAACCACCACAGAGGAGGTTTACTCCCATATCTCCATTTGAATTGATGAACAATCACAGGGAGGTCAACTCCCATGAAATCCCAATTTGATTAAAGGAGTCACAACAGAGAAGGTAGACTCCCATGATATCCCCATTAAATCAAGCCACCACAGAGGAGGTAGACTCCCATGATATTTCCCACTTGATTAAAGGAACCATCACAGAGGAGATTGACTCCCATGACATCCCTATTTGATTAAAGGAGCTACCACAGACGAGGTTGACTCCCATGATACCTCAATTTGATTATACAAGAACCACTACAAAGAATTTTCCATGAGAGCCAGAACTATGTGGGTAATAATTTCTCAAAGAATCAGTGATTTGTGATTTAGCAAATTCAAATGTCTTCCAGTGTTAAGTAAGTTACATAACATTCTACCTTTACAGTCTAATTCACAGCCCTAAGAAATGCATGAAGGAAAATGAAGGCAATTCTTATGACTGTGAAATACACTTCATTATAGAACTTCAATATGAAAATAGCTATATTTATTAATGAATCAGCCCGACTACAATACAACATTCAAAATTTTATTCTTATGTACACCATCTTGTACAAGCAAAAATTGGTTTCATAGAAACCATGCTCAAAATCTTTTAATCTGTACTGTTTTTGTTGACACCCTGTATAGAGTAAGAATGATATTTTGTTGTTTTTATCTACACTGTATATTTAATAATATATCTACAAAATTCTGAATGTTACTATAAGTACATCGTACACTGACAAGATGTAAATACATGAAGTTCCAACATAAATTGAACATTGTCAAATTTTCTATCAGGTATTTTGGGCACTTTGTCTGAGTATCAGAAAAGCAGGTTTTTCATCAATCATTGTATTGGCAAAGTATGAAATGAACATAAAGGTATTAAATCATGGATTCTTTGTTTGAAAACTTTGGAGGTTAAAGAGAGAATCAGATATAGCGAGCAGGCTAAACAAAAAATTGTATTCAATTATTTTTGGCTCTATCATTCCTTGTCATGTCTATTTTCTAAAAATCACAAAAGTGCATACTTTATTCCAGGAAAAATAAAGATTTTTACAAAAATGTATTATTTTTCTATAAGAATGGTTACCATTCTTATTATTTGGGAGTATTTAAACATTTTCCACTAATTTTTGCACTTTGAATCATTAATAACTTCACCAATTTATAACATATCGTGAATCTTTTGGGAGATATTGTATTTGATATTGTAAGGAAGAGATTGTTAGGTCAATTATTCATGTTGCTTGTAATTCTGTCACCTCCTATAGATCAGATTCTGCCTTTAATCTCCAAAAATCATAATAGTCTGTAATTTGCATCATCAATAGACTTTGATACACGCCTTATTTCCTGTCAAAACTATTGCTTGAAAAAATTTTACTGGTAAGTTACAAGCACAAATATATTTTCTAAAGGAAACTTATTGACTAATACCATGTAGCATTTTTTTAAACTGTCAATAAAAACAGAAAAAAATGATTTGTGCCAAAATCTATATGTTATGCAAGTTATAGTTATTATGTTGTTTTTAGTTTGGATATTTCAGGATCAAAGATACCACAGTGAGGTTCTCTAATCTTCACCGGGATCCTCATGCTCGTAAAGTTCATCTGTATTAGTTTTGTCATGTAAGAGAACATACTCTCGAGAACTGAATCCAAACTTAATCACATCTTTCTCGATAAGTTCCACATATCTTTCAGGCTCGATTCGTTTATTGTTTACATGTGTTCCATTGGTTGAGCCTAGATCTATGATATAGGGACGTACCCTTCGACCTTTGGTGCCATCTTCACGTTTGAATGGAACAAGTCGGAATTGCAACACCGCATGCTGCTTAGAACAAGATGGGTGGTCAACAGGTATGTCAGCAATTTTGCGCTCACGTCCCATTAGAAATGCACTCTGCCTGTGAATATGTAATACTGGAAGTGCTTCTTCACCTTTAAATGGGTACAATCGCCAATGCTTTTTAGGCTTTCTAGCCTCGGGAGGTTCATTATATTTAATAACAACTCCTCTGAATGTGTTTGTGTCTTCAGTTAATTTTCCTGATTTTTCAAAATTTGGTTTGTCTTTGTCATTTTTATCTTTTTTCTCATCTTTTATTCGATCCTCTGGTCTGCCATATTCAAATTCTTCCTTTCTTTCAAATGGGTTACCATCCCCACGACGTTGACGATTTTGACGTCGACGGTCATCATTACGCTGGCGGCTCCAGTTTTGGTTGACCATATTAGGATCTTGTCTTTCATGACGATCATATCCACTATCCCTTGGTTCCCGTTTTATATGTCGGGGTTGTTCGCGGTCCCGACTACTTCTCTGGGGTTCCATTTCTTCTTCCCATCTGCTATGACGATCTTCTCTTGCGTGCCTGTCTTCGTGCCTTGAGTGCCGTTCACGTCTATGTGAGTTATCCTCATGATCTCTATGAGACCTTTGATGATGCCCTTCCTTTTGAGAACGGTGTCTATGCTCATGTCTATGGACTGAATAATGTCTATCGGCTGCTATATCTACCTCATCATAAGATCTTGAACGTTTTTTGTCTTTCTTGTGCTTTTTTCTCTTCTCTTTTTTTGATTTCTTTTTCTTATATGTCTCTTGTTCTTCAGATGATACTTCTGATTCAGAAGAGGGTGACCGCTGAGCTTTGTCCATTTTTCTTGTTGATACATACTCTTCCTGATCAGATTCTGTATGTTTGTGACGTTTCCGAACCCTATGGGGGCTAGGAGTTGTAACTCCTCTCACTCCCTTGCCTTTGTCTGCTGGGGGCAGGTTTTCTTCTTCAGAATAATCAGAAGAGTCATTCCTCTCATCAACAGACTGTTCTTCACTAGAAGAGGACTCGACTGGTGCCTCATTGCTTGCATCATCATCAGAAGTTTCTGATTCACTTTCCATATCTTGTCTCTTTGGCCTCCGTTTCTCTTCATATTTTTCTCTCTGAAAATACAAAAATAGTAATACAATTGATTACACGAACGGAAGGAATTACGCACTCAAAAATATGCAGACTGCTTGGATAATTGTTTCCTTAGTGTTTCAAATCAATGGTATCATTTCTTGATGTCAATTACAGCTTTGTGATATTTGGAACAATTACCTTTCAGAATGGTTTAGACTTCAGACATGTCAGAACAAATTCAGGTATCTGGGAAACCTCTAGTTCATATCAATATCAATTGAAATAACATTTTTGATGTTAAAAAGCAATTATGTGGAGGTATAAACAGGCCTAACCATTGACAACATACCGTACAGTGACAAAATATACGGTTGTACACTTTAGCTGTACATTGTCATGTTTTGAGCAAAAATTGTGATGTAGGTTTAAAAAGATTTATCTAAGGAATATAAAGTAGGATTTATGTTTAATTTCATTTAATTTCATTTTTGCCTCAAATAGCCAAAGTGTACACCTGTATATTTTGTCACTGTACATTGTCGGTGGTTAGGCGTGATAAGCCCCCCGAGTTGAATGTTCAGTGTTTAGAAATTGTCTGTAGTCCATTTCAATTGCACTGGTACTGCATTTGATTATGCTGTTACCGAAACAGATCCTTTTGGGAATGGGTACCATTTACATTTAATTTGAGAAATTACTGGCATAAATGAAACCTTATTAAAACAGCATTTATATTATTCAAAAGCGTTCGTAATCAATGATTCCCAGCCCTCTGAAGTTTGAAAAATAAAAATCCCTGGATGTTAATCCATAGGTAATCCTTGAAAATGAAAATATTTTTGGGAGTATATGGTGCAATCTAATAGTCAATAAAATGTTTTAAAGTGTTTTGAATTTTGATGTTTTTTTTAAATGACAAACACAAGGAAAATGCATGAAAAAACTTCCCCAATTCATTCTACAAACAACTCACGGTCCTTTTAAGGTTCTTAAACATTTTGGCTAGAGAGCCTTAGATTTTAAGGTTCTTAAGCATTGTGATAACCAATTTTGCTAAAGCCTTAAGGTTCTTAAATATTTTTGGCTAAAGTGCCTTAAAATTTAAGGCTCTTTAGCAAAATTGGTTACCAAAATGATAAAGGAATTCTGACCAGCAGAAATGACCAAATATTGCAGTTTGGGACTAAATCAAATGACCTTGACATATTCTTCACCCTGACTATTTTGTGCTAAAACAATTAATATATCATAATTATGTAAGCAGATATCACTTAAATATAAAACATATTTTTGTTCGTTATAAAACCGGAAGTGTGTTCTCTCACATCGATTTCATTGTTTTCAAATTAACTGAAGATTTTAAATGAGCACATATAAAAACTGTATAATAGTATAAATCTTTTAATTCTTTTAAACTTTTGCTTCGAGAACAAGTTATTTTCAGAGAGCTGAAAAAGTTATTTCATCATGTTCATGGTTATTCTGACCATGTACATTGTGATCATTGTCCTTTAAATTATATGTGCAACTATTTGAATTGACTGGAGGTCAAAACAGAACTCTGTTATCTTTGTTCAAAAAATGTCTAAAAATGCCACATTTATTGCCACTTCCTGTTTTGTCATTTCCTGTTAAGTACCACTGCACCTTAAAATTTTACTGCAGATGATGTGTGGAATGAGTTAGAGTGGGAAATGCCATGTTTGTGATCCAATCGCCATGTTTGTGATCCAAGGAGGATTGACTCCCAGAATGCAACATCAGTTAACCTTATTCACTCGTGACAGGTTTCAAAATGGCTGAACAGCATTTTGAAAGCTGGCACGTGTCATGTTGCATTCTGGGAGCCAATCCTCATTGCGGCGTAATCGGGCTCCAAAATCACCTCAACATTTGAAGAGTCGGCATTAACATGCCGACTGAGATCGGGTAGGGCGAAGGGGTGTAATGTCGACGTGTGGGGTAATGTCGACATAATGGACGGGGTAACTTCGACACTTACGTATTAGAAGTAGAATTTCCGTTTTCCGCCATGTTTGATTTCTGGAAAAATTAAAATCTCGCGAGATCTCGATCCATGCGAGAAAAAAAACATGGCTTCCCCCTAGATCGGAAATTAGAGCAAATAAACAACAAGGTGTCGAAGTTACCCCACATGTCGAAGTTACCCCAAAACGGTGTCGACGTTACACCCCTTCGCCCTAATTCAAATTCAAAAGTAATTCCAGTTTATATTGGTCATCAAAGGCATGATATCTATCTCTCAGATTTGGGAAATCTCCTCTAAATTATAGATGCTGGCCAGATCATTCTGTAGTGTAAGAGGCTCGAACATGCTCAGATTTGGGATATCTATGCTCTGAATTAATCCATCCATGATGATGGAACAACAAACAAATGATGAAAAATCAGAAAAATACTCAAAAATACAACCTTGACTTTTTCATATTTGCTTTGACTTTTATCATCGAATTTGTCACTCTTCTTATCAATAAATTTTCTGTCTTGTTCTTGATTATCATAATATCGTTCTTCCTTTCTGCTACGCTTATGAGAAGGCATTTTAAATAAAATATTCCAGGGTAACGTTTCCGGAATGGCGACCGGAAGTAGAACAGTCTACATACCAAATTCCAAAATACGGAATAACTAAAATAGATAAATTAAATTGGAAAAATTAGATTAATATCGGTCACTTATTTAATTTTTGATATATCAATATAAAGGCTAAATTTTGATTTCGTAAATATATTTTTAATTGAGAGATGTTTAACAATTTTTCATCCTTCTATTTATTCTGTTTTAGTTTGGCATTTATATCTACTCCATTTTAAAAGTCCGGAACTAAAATACTTTATTCACGTTTAGAGGGGCATTTTAGGCATGCCACTATGTCCAACGATGTTTCAAACCAAACAGTAGTAGCAGGAGAAGCATCTGAATCGGATGATGATGATTTCAAGGAGTCTTTAAAGGTAACGACGTGAAATATTGTAACACTTCATCTATTATCGCCCAAAATATTGAAATTTTTTTTAACGTAGTGGCTCCAGGACCGACAATTGTCGGTACTGGAGACTGTCCAGGGGTATTTGCTGGGGTACCGACAATTGTCGGCACTCTATCGTCACCTAGTAGTGCCAGATAGAGAACCGACAATTGTCGGTACGCAAGTGGCTGCTACGTGTTTTTGCTAGAGAGCCGACAATTTCATAAATAAATCCACTACTTTTACTTTCGGAATAACCTCATCTCGGTAGCCTAGTGGTTAGCGAGCACGACTCCAACACACTCGGTCACGAGTTCGAATCCCGGCAGGACCTATTTTTTTCTTTTGAGGGGGCGGGGGGCAAAGTGCTTCTTTTGCAGTATGGAATCGTACAGGCATTAACTTGTAGTGAGCCATAATTTATTTCGACAAAAATTGATTCAACTTCCATTAAAATTGTCCTACAACTTCAATTAAAAAACATTTTAAAGCTCTTTTCTTGTTCTATCTAATGGGTCGATATATACAGTTAGGGGAGGGGATGTTTTCGCCCCCGTCGCTCTCTACCCTTACTACGCCATGGCACAGGAGAAATATCTCATTTGGAATATATTACTGTTTACTTTGCGTTTGGTAGCTCTCTCATGCGAGATGGAATCGTGGCCATTAACTAAGGGAGCCAAATGCAACTTCCATCAAAAATTGTGCTATAAGGTATGAGTACCGTAATCCAACACCAAATTCGAAAATTCATAGATTCATTCGTAGATACGAAAAATTTCGAACGGAATGCGTGACATATACGTAATTCGCGTGAAAAGTCCGAACGAAATGCGTACGTTTTTTTTCGGCGTTCGTATTTTTGCTGTGTAGACGAACTTTTTTCGAAATTTTTCTACAGAAATATTTTTGCTTGACAATTACCAGGTAAAATGCGTATTTGCGTGACATTTTCTGTCACGCAAAAATAACTGGCGTGACTTCAAATTCTTCAGCAAATGCGTGACAAATACGCAAATTGCGGGACAGTTGACAGGCCTGGGGTTATTTAGAACGATACCACAGGTTTTTAAATGGACTATATAGGGTTTGGTAATCCCCGGGTAACCGGGGCTAATGCCCTCCCCGGGTTTTGCACTTGTTCCCAAAATATCCGTATGATATCTGAAATATCCCCCCGCGCATTGCGCATGCGCCAGAAAATTCGAAAATCAATATTTGTCGGTCCTCTAGCGTGTAAACACAGCATATCTCCCGTACCGACAATTTATTTGTCGGTCCTCTAGCGTGCCACCACATCAGAGTCTAGAGTACCGACAATTGTCGGTACTCTAGCCTTTACGTTTTTTTAAAGTTTTTGAACTTGATATAATGTGTATCTCACATTTTCTCTGCATCTGAATGCGTCTCTCATTTACCTACCATTATTAAGTATACATTCATATATGTTCTTCTTCAATGTCACCTATACTATATCTTTTACAGTTGGGGACAAAAATAAATGACAGGTCGATTTTCGATCACCATTTCCTAATTATGGTGGTCTGAAAGCCCATAATTTCCAATATTGTCTAGATATATATCCCTTAAAATTTGTATATTTTACATTTATTTTGTATAATCTCATCCACTGATGTATGGCCTCTTGTAAATTCTCTTATTTTTAACATGGGAAATCCTCACTTCAGCAAATCCACCTGTCATTTATTTATGTCCCCAACTGTAGTCTGAAATTTTTTGAAATTTGGAATGAAAATATTCAGACTATAGCCAACATATGTTAAAATTTTGGATTGAAAATTATTTGATTACATTACATAAGTGCCATTCAAAATGGCCAATTGGGTAAATTAATTTGCATATTTGTTTCTTCCCCTAGCTTTATTTCCATTTGATAATATGCTGTGTTACTTTTTAAGCATTTAATATATATATATCCTACAGATGCGAGTAGAAATAATCTTGATTTACTTCATTAAAAATTCTCAATTCAGTCAAACTGATGTCATATTTCATCAGTGTCAAGATTTAGGGACAAAAATTTATGCCATTTTGAAGTAAGGCTTTTTTTCTTTACAATGACGAATTGAGAAATTTAAAAACATCCCACTTACTGAACTTTTAAACTTTTAAGGCATTTATTTTCAAAAAGCTTTACATTGGCGAAATTCCATTACATTCTTGGACTTAGATTATTTTGTGATTGAAAGTTGTGAACATTTATGGCATGGATTTTCAAAAGGGTTTTCAAAAAGCTTTACATTGGCCATATTCCTTTACATTCTTGGACTTAGATTATTTTACGATCTATAGAAGTGAAATTTTACAGCATGCATTTCTAAAAAGCTTTACATTGGCCATATTTCTTTACATTCTCGGACTTACATTATTTTACGATCTATGTAGAAGTGAAATTTTATGGCATACATTTTCAAAAAGCTTTACATTGGCCATTTTCCTTTACATTCTTGGACTTACAATATTTCACGAACCAAAGACATGAACTTATGCAGGCATTTTCAAAAAGCTTTACATTGGCCATATTCCTTTACATTCTTGGACTTAGAATATTTCACGAAGCAAAGTTGTGAACTTTTTATGCAGGCATTTTCAAAAAGCTTTACATGGGCGAAATTCCATTACATTCTTGGACTTAGATTATTTTGCAATTGAAAGTTGTGAACTTTTATAGCATGCATTTTCAAAAAGCTTTACATTGGCCATATTCCTTTACATTCTTGGACTTAGATTATTTTACGATCTATAGAAGTGAAATTTTATGGCATGCATTTTCAAAAAGCTTTACATTGGCCATTTTCCTTTACATTCTTGGACTTAGAATATTTTACGATATATACTTGATAACTTTTAAGGCATGTATTTTCAAAAAGCTTTACATTGGCCATATTCCTTTACATTCTTGGACTTAGATTATTTAACGATCTATAGAAGTGAAATTTTATGGCATGCATTTTCAAAAAGCTTTACATTGGCCATTTTCCTTTACATTCTTGGACTTAGATTATTTTGCGATTGAAAGTTGTGAACTTTTATAGTATGCATTTTCAAAAAGCTTTACATTGGCCATATTCCATTACATTCTTGGACTTAGATTATTTTACGATGTAAACTTGTGAACTTTTATAGCCGGCATTTTCAAAAAGCTTTACATTGGCCATATTCCTTTACATTCTTGGACTTGGAATATTTTACGATCTATAGAAGTGAAATTTTATGGCATTCATTTTTCAAAAAGCTTTACATTGGCCATATTCCATTACATTCTTGGACTTAGATTATTTTACGATGTAAACTTGTGAACTTTTATAGCAGGCATTTTCAAAAAGCTTTACATTGGCCATATTCCTTTACATTCTTGGACTTAGATTATTTAACGATCTATAGAAGTGAAATTTTATGGCATGCATTTTCAAAAAGCTTTACATTGGCCATTTTCCTTTACATTCTTGGACTTAGATTATTTTGCGATTGAAAGTTGTGAACTTTTATAGTATGCATTTTCAAAAAGCTTTACATTGGCCATATTCCATTACATTCTTGGACTTAGATTAAATTTACGATGTAAACTTGTGAACTTTTATAGCAGGCATTTTCAAAAAGCTTTACATTGGCCATATTCCTTTACATTCTTGGACTTGGAATATTTTACGATCTATAGAAGTGAAATTTTATGGCATTCATTTTCAAAAAGCTTTACATTGGCCATATTCCATTACATTTTTGGACTTAGATTATTTCAAGATTTAAAGTTGTAAACTATTATGTTATGTATTTTCAAAAAGCTTTACATTGGCCAAATTCCTTTACGATTTAGTTGTGAACTCTCATAGAATGCTGTACATGTATTTCCACGCTTTACAGTGTCCCCTTTCCTTTACTTATTTTGACTTATAGATTATTTGGTATTTGTTGGATTCTGTTCTTTCACGACGTACAGTACATGTAGAATTGTAAAAACCATATGTCATTGGAGAGAATACAGTAAAGATCGCTAATATAAAGAAATGAACTTGCATAGACAATAGTATTGATAATGATTGAAGAAATTCCCAACAGAGCCCCTCAAATAGATGGGATTGTTTTCCCCGATCATCTTAAATACTTTCACAAGAGATGGTTGAAAATCGATCTAAAGTTATACCTTATATTTTCAATTTGATGATAGATCATGATTCCAGGTGGGAAAATCATGTAAAAGGCGAGAAATGTTAAAAGAAATGAGAAAGTTTGATGGGCTTTTGACATGCGCAGAACTCATGCGCAGAAGCTCTTTTGGTAAATGCCGATCAAAATTCTTAACTTTGAAACATTTCCTTCATTTTATGGACTATTTTGCGATAACATTAGAAAAATATGGTGTTGAAAGCACCCAATGATAGATATTAATCGAGAGGATGCACCGGCCAATACTTATATCCAAAGTAGAATACATGTATGGAATTTGACACGCCGACCTCAGAGAAAACACTTCCGGTTTTATAACCAAATACTCTATCGATCAGAATATCTTATTGTAATTTCGCCTGACATCTGCTAATATGATATGTGAATATTTGTTGATTTGATTGTTAATTTCAAATTACTCAGAAGTACACGTAGGTACATGTAAGGGAAAGAACATAAGTCGAGGTTTACATCGTAAAATAATCTAAGTCCAAGAATGTAAAGGAATATGGCCAATGTAAAGCTTTTTGAAAATGCATGCTATAAAAGTTCACAACTTTCAATCGCAAAATAATCTAAGTCCAAGAATGTAATGGAATTTTGCCAATGTAAAGCTTTTTGAAAATGCATGCCATAAAATTTCACTTCTATAGATCGTAAAATAATCTAAGTCCAAGAATGTAAAGGAATATGGCCAATGTAAAGGTTTTTGAAAATGCATGCTATAAAAGTTCACAACTTTAAATCGCAAAATAATCTAAGTCCAAGAATGTAATGGAATTTCACCAATGTAAAGCTTTT